TATTTTTTTCCAATTCAGTATTGATTGAGACAATCTTGGAATCTATTGTTTCCATTGGAAACAGGCCCTGTTGGTGCACTGTGGGCGCTGCTGTACTCTGATTTGCAATGTACAGAAACCGCTCTTGACTTAAAAACTGTTGTTCAGTCAACAATACGGCACAGGGAGGAGTTGTAACAAAGTCAGTTCATTCAGATGTAACACGAACAGGAAAGTTGATAGAAGTCATGTGTAAATGAGCTCCGCAAGGCTGTATTAAAACACGGAAAACACGGTTGTTAAAGTTAGAGAACAAAGTCACATAGAACATCTAAGGTGCTCAATGTGATGGTAAGATAGTTGGATAAAGTAAACATTGAAAAAGCACTCTCTAAAAGCAAACTAGTTTTTTAAAGCTTTTTATTTTATCATGTTTTTTTATTCTGTTTACTACATGTACTGAATACCAATAAATGTCACAAATGAATTTTGTCTGGTTGGACCAGCCCAGTCATTTCTGGGCTCCGGTGGTTACTAATTGACCAAGAACAAGTCTTTTCATGCTGTCTTTCAGGGCAGCATAGAGTCTGGAATCCAATAAAAGACAGATTTCACACATGTTCAAGTCACCTCGAAAACCTTAGTTCTAGCATCTGTCCCTTTATGAGTGATAGCCAGTACTGGGTATTAGAGGCCTTTCCTGAAAAGCCATCTAAAATGAAAACTGATTTGCTGAATAGCATCTCAGGACATCCTACCGATGCCAGATGGGCTTTGTGAGCGCAAGATTGGCCCCAAGAAAGAGATCTTGCACAAACATTATTGTTTACCAGTGCAGAGCCATTGTTGGTATGGCGTCTGTCATAGAAACTTCAGCATCCTTCCAAATTAGACCACAACCGCAGGGGTGCTGCTATCCCCTCACTTTCGTGGCTCCTACAGCCCTGTGGCTGGACCACAAGCTCTTTTTCATCATCGGTCAGCAGTTGCTACAATGACCCTCCAGGAGACTGACCCCTTGACTCACCACAGGGGGGCTCAGCCAGGCCTGAGCCGGGTCAAGCCTGCCCAAGTTTGCTGACTGGGACCTGACCCTGGCCCGCTCCCCTTTCGTTGGGTCAGGGCCTGGACTCAAAAGAGCGAGGTGTCCTGCAGAGAACAGAGTATGAACAGCTATTCAGCAGAGTTGAATCAGGAGCTGTGTCCGGCTCAGTACTGACCACCAGGGACTGAGCAGGTCAGCCAGGCCAGGCTCCTGCTGCTGGCCACAGATCACAGAGAGAAAGCAGCCGCACTCATTAGGGAAGGCATTCTGCTCTGAAGATATGTGTGAAAAGTCCCAATTAGCTGGAATTAGGTTGCACGCTGCAGTGACGCCCCAATTTATCATATTGATCAGACTCCTGGCATTCAGTCCCATTCCTCATGTTCACAAAGGCATGATGGTGAGGAGCAGCAGTCCATGTCGTAACCCTACGAAAATCCAGATGGTGATTGTCTTTCACATCACACATAAAACGTCATGCATCTATTTGCAACAAGGACTAATTATTCAAGTTTGAAAAACACAGATCCACAACCAGGCACTGCTCATGTTAGCTTACACACGAAGTTCTGAGTGTTTGTGTGTGTTAATTTGCTAATAAGCAGAGACTGAAAAAATTAATACGGATATATTTCAGCCTTCATCTCAAATGGTGAATTGAGCTTCTCATAGCTGCACATCCCTGTCCAGCAAGTCTTGCCCAGACATTGTGTCATCATCCAGTTATACTCTCTGTTTCATTCATGATTGACTTTATTGTCCCTTGCAGGAAATTTGTCTTAGACAGTGGAGCTACATGTACTGCAGCAAAGGTAGCTCCACTGTCTAAGACAAATTTTCCACAAGGGACTGTAAAGTCAAACTTGAATCTTGAATCTTGTACTTCTGGTTTCCAGGCCGCATTGACAAAAAAAGGCAAGAAAAAGGTGAGGAGGTGAACTGATAACACACAAGGACAGGTTGTGCCTTGTTCCATAAAAAGCCCCCATGTCTGTCCCCCCCATCCATCTATCCATCCATCCACCAACCACACATCCATCTCTCTCTGTCGACACCATGTGACCGCGCTCAGATTTGGAGAGGAAGCCCCTGTCAAGATAGGGTCCTTATCACGACTAGGTCAGCCCCCCCCTCTTCCCAACATCCATCAGGCGAGCAGCCACCTGGACGACTGCTGACCCTCGCTACATACTGATTGGACAGCCGTTGGAGAGGACACACAGGAGTGGAAGAGATAAGAGAGATAACAGGCCTGAGCACATTCTTGTAATTCAGCATTTTTTTCCCTTCTCACACAGCCAAATTTAGGAAGTCATTTTTACCTCACATGAGGTCTTTTTTAAAGATCCTCAGGAGGGAGTCAAATGAGGACAAACTGTCACATTTAAACAGGAAACCAATTATATGGTGGGGTTCAAGTCATACTGGTCCCTTTAAAGCCACCCCAGACTGTATTTTTATGACCCACAGAGGTGCTGAAAGCCTTCAAAACTCCTCAGAGACACTCCCCCACCTCTGCCCTTCTCCCCCTCTCATCTTCTTCAGTTCATCCTCCTATTCTGTTTGTTTTGCCTGTATTAGCACCCTGGAGGGCCGAATTATGGATGAGCGGAGGAACATCCATCTCCATCTCACCTTAGCCTCCCGCTCGTGCTAAAATAAGTGGCCAATTAACTTGGCGGCAACCATGTGTGCTTGTCCCCATCTGAGTGCAGATTAATGACCGGCCAACGCTTTCCTTCCACAGGCCCATTTATCAGAATCAGCAACTAGGTCACACGATGACTAAACGCCTGGCCACCACAGCCACCAGAGGCCCAGGGCCGTGCATCGCTGTAGACTCCAATTGGATTTAATTGCTTGTCTTTCTCTTGGCTGTGAGAGGAAAAAGAGACGACTCCACTGGCAGGTCCCATTAGCCTGTGCGGCAGTGAGAGCTGAGGAGTCTGGGATGTCGTACGTCCTCTGAGTGTAGGTTTGAAGAGGACTCAGAGTCCACTTCATTAAAACATACCCACTTAGGTGAAGATGGACTTTTCCTTGGGTTGGCTATAGTGTCACCTATCATGATTCAAAGGCTTGTCAAGTTACAATGAGTCGGTGCAGTGGTAGAGAGAGAGACGGCGATAGGTCTACTTCTTAAAGGGGCATTCAAGTTTCAGACGAGTTAGGCGTGATTTTTCTACAGTTTCTGGCAAATACATTAGCAAATCAGTGGTGAGTATTCATAAATATGTTATTGTTGTTAAGTACAAGTTCCATGAGGCAAGTCAAATAAACAGTCAGAGGATGAGACATATTTTTAACAAGTCAGCAAAACTAAATTTGGGCCTTTTGTTTTTGCCTCCACTGATAGGACGGCTAAAGAAAGACCGGAATTACTGGGTGGAGAGGACAGAATTGCCAACCGTTCCAAAAGTCCCTAATGGGATGCCCCCTTGTCCAGTGCGTTGTCGTTCCCTTTGTAACCACGATAAGACTCTTTACTCATCCTAGATCAGAAATAACACAGTTCCCTGCCATGCTCTGATCATGTCCATCAAGTAACACTTCTTATTCAATCACAGCCCCCTTCGCGTGCAGTGCCTAATTATGCCGAAAATTTTTCAGTTTATGTATGCTCATCATTTGGCTTGTGGTATACAAGTAAGGACAAATAAATGGGTAAAATAGCAAAATTTAAAAGACATTGGAGCTACAACAAACGACAGGAAGCAAAGAAAAATGGGAGATGACCGACTTTACCGACTGGACCACAACCAGGTTGAAAAAAAGTTTTTAAACTGTGACAGGAAAAAAAAAAAAACAGTCACTGTTTTTAATCAGCAAATATCGACACTTCCTTACCAGATAGTAAATCTTTGCATCACAAAAACATCAAACTTTGCTCACTCTATAAAAAAGAATTCAGATTACAACACTAGGCATGGGTCTTAAGGCGAGCACTGTGTTACGTCCATAACCCTGGCACGCCACAGCATCTCCCACCTCATTGATCAGCACTAAATGTGATTAGTGCAAGTAGGTTAGCGAGAGATGCTTGATGAAATTAGCCAGACAGACTGTTGTAATAGAATTACCATGTGCGGGTCAGTCCCTCAGGGCAGCCTAAGGACACCAGCAGCTCTTAATGTTGAAGTGAATCAGGAGTCCGGCAGCGTCTTTTTATCTGCAGCTAATTGAGTCCTGAGTCAACAAGTGGAGGATGTGCTGAGTGTGAGTGAAGTGTGTGTGTGGATATGTAAGTAGAAGGACCTGGCCCAAGTGGGCTCTTGCTATACACCTGGAATCCTTTCTAAGACAAGCCAGAGATTTTAATCCATTTTCTTCCATTTAAACCAAGACCAACCAAAAAAAGAAGCACCCCGATTCTCTAGTTATTGGCTTTCTCTTGTAGGAAACACAAGAACTTGGAGGGTACAAAGAAAGGTATGAAGAAAATAAAGGACTGAAGGAAACAAAGAAGTTGTACCAATCAAAGATCCACTTAATTTACAGCTCAAAAAGGCAGCAGGAAGAAAAAAAGACCACCTATAATAATGCATCAGTTTTCATATAGCGCTTTATCAGAGACCCTCAAAGCGCTTTACATTGGATACATCATTCATTCGCTCACACAATCACACTTTGGTGGTGGTGGAAACGTGGCTGCCATTCTGCGCCTACGGCCTCTCCGACCACCACCACACAACACTCGCAATCATACACCAGTGGAGGACACACACTGGGAGCAAGGTGGGTTAAGTGTCTTGCCCAAGGACACAACGGACAGACTTGGATTAGGGGGGAATCGAACCGCCAACCTTCCGGTTATTGGACGACCGCTCTACCTCCTGAGCTACTGCCGCCCCACCTAAAAAGAAGAAAACTGTTGTTGTACTACAATTTAGAGTATGGGATTGGGGTCAAGATGTATCCATCCACATTCGACGATTTACTTCTCTTCGTGATCAGCAGGATGTTACAATCCTGAGCTATGTCACCGACTGGTGACCACCACAGCACAAGTGCACCCATGGTCGGCTGCCCACCAAGCAGAGCTGGCTGCTTTAGGAGGGTATCGATGGCATTTGAAAGGCACCGGAGCGCTGCGGCCAGTCTGACCCTGCGCTGCCCCGGCCTTTCAGCACCAGGCCTTTCAGACACTGGTGGACAATACCGACTGCCCTCCGGCCTCCGAATGGCCTCTGAGCCGATTATGAACCGGACCTGCCACAGAGGGACAGAGCCGCGGCCCTACACCACCCACAGCCAACAAACCCCTCCTTCCCTCTTGCTGGGCCTCTGGAGGAACCACCAGGGGCCAAGGTCAGTGGCCAGGCTGACCTCTGATCTCCCGCCATGTTTGGACACGTCCAAACACAAAGCGAAGCCCGAGGCAGCTGATTAGAATATTGAAGGGATGAAAGGCCAAGAGGGCTCCGGACTGTTGCAGGCAGTTGTTTGTGTGTGTGTATGTATGCATGTATGTTGTTGGCATGGCGACCTGGTCATTGACTGTTCGGACCACCGGACCTTCCTTGAACCTCCCCCACATGTGCAGCTCTTGCCCCAGGTCTCTTTGTTGGGGGACAGGAGGGAGGAATTACAGCAGGGATGATCCCGTATTACTGGGCCTGCCTGCCTTTCAGGTTGGGCTTACTTTTGTGTGCTGGCTCTGGTCTTATCCTCCCCTCAGTGTTGCCTCCACTGAGCAGATCCTTTTGATGTCCTCATACACTGACCACCACATTGCAACAAATCACATTTGTCCCTGCAAAACATTTGAGGTATTGTGTTGGATTCAATGACAAAGCAAAATGTGACACAGAAACTGAGGGATGAAGAATTCTCAAAAGTGAGTAAATGTTTCTTAAACTTGTGTGATCTTCTCGACAGTTTCTTTGTTGGAATGCAACATTTTTAGGCAGATCAATCTGTTCGTGGATTTTATTTGTACTTTATCTCGTTTCCTTTGTGTTGTACTTGGGCATCACCTCTCAATTCCACTTTTTCCTGCTTCTGAAGTTGCAGGTCTTATTGTAAACAACAATGCAATACACAGAGGGGGAGTTGTCTTTGTCCAAAGTCCTCTATCTCTTCACCAGGGCTTTACCAGAAGCATAAAAAATGTAGCTGTCCCTTTGTAACACTATGTCCCAACAGCGTGCAAGCATCAGATATTGTATAACACCTCAAAGTCCGCGGTCATTCTGCATCAGTTAAATAAACTTCCATTTCCTCACGCCAAAAAGTTAGGGGGCACAAACCCTGTGCCCCGTCAAGCTGAGTTGTTAGCGTCATGTCACATTTTGTTTCTACACACGTCCTGTTTCTCACAGGCAGTTAGGACACCCCAGTTTCCATGAAAGGAAACAATGATTGTGCCCCAATTCTGGGGCGGCATCTTCTGAAGGCCACATTTGAAGACTGATAGCATTGTTTGATCTGCTGGCAGCTGTGGTAGCGTAACAATAAAGACAACAACTCCAATGGACCAGAGCCACAGATATGTCAACTAAAGGAGAGGTTGAGTCATAGATTTTCCAGGGCAGTATATGAAACTTTATGTTGAGAGCAAGTTGTTAAAAAAAATCTTTTTTTCCAACTTTGTTTCAATGAATGAAAAGATACAAGTGCAGCGTTTGTCTGATGCTTGATCACATTTCGTAACTCAAACCTCCATCCTTTAAACTTGGCTCTCATTTCCCTCCTCACTTTTTTCTTTTTTCCCATATCTCTGCAGTGCCCCCTACATCCTGCAGCTGGTCTCTGCATTTGCACTGTATTAACCTGCGACCCACAGCTAACCCTTTACCTTCCAGCTGTGTGTGTGTGTGTGTGTATAGCAAGACGCCTTGTGCATAACCAGTGGTCCATACCTTTTTACTGCTCAATGTGCACAGCCAGAGGGGTTTTTGGGTGCGTGTGTGTCAGGAATGACTGAGGGTTTCGCTCTGACGCCCTTGTGTGTACTCATTCAGCACAGAGGTCGTGTGTCAGGGGTCAAAGGGTCTTTAGGCGAGATGGTGGTGGCTCGTGGGGAGGGAGGGGGATGATGTGGTACAAATGCCCCAAGGTGGGTAGACTATCTTAATTGGCCTCTAGAGACTTGAGGGAATGTGTGTAATGTGAGTGTTAAATGCACTTGCATACCTATCAAACAGAGGACATTGGTGTCATCGGACACTCACTAACGAGGGACCATCAAACATAAGAGGACACTTTTGAGATCTCATGTTAAATCTCTTAAAATCATGTCAAACCCCCTTGGTAATATTTTTATAACTTTAGCAAAAATAGTTGGAGTGTTTGAATGATTTGATGTCTAAGTAAATTAGATGTTTATGTACGGATGTGAGGTTTATGTTGCTGTATTCATAAAAACTACATGAGGTAATGTATACCATGTGTTTAGAAGTGGGGATTGAGAAAGTCTGTTTTAGGGGATGGATAGTCCAAGAGAAAAAAACTTAACCACGGGAAAGTACAGTACAGGGTGTCATGGACCATCATAAAAGTAGGCTAACACAAATGTGCTGTGTGCTCGTGAAGGGTTTAACAAAAGATGAGGTCCGTAAATCTTTAAAAGCACTTAAAGCTGCAGGACTGTGCCTGTGAGTGCAAGACAAGAGTAGAAGTATACATTTCTTCTTTACGTTGTTTATACCTTCTGTTTAGGCGTGCTATTGGCCTGTGTTTGTGTTGGTGTGTGCCGCTGCTGTGGTCTTGTTTGCTCAGGGACAGTCAGTCTTGTGCCCTGCGACAACATTATCCACCTATTAAAGTCCGGCCGTTATTTACCTTCCCCTTCTTAAAGGGACGGGTCGTGTCCAGCTGATAAAAGGCTGCAGAGTGTCTGTTTGACTCCAGGCTGGAGAGACGAGCACGACTACAGTCACTGAGTGTTGGCAGAGCAAACACTCCCGAGTACCCAGGATCTCACACCCAAACACACACACACACACAAACCTGCACACACACACACACACAATGCAGAGGAAGAACAAACACACAGCTGGACAATAGCTTTCAGAAACAGTCTTTGAATTTAAATGAAAACAATCTCATTAACATACAAAACCCAAACCCAAAAACACTGAACTGTTGATGCAAATGATGGAAATTGAAAACTGAATCGTTTCTTCTCATAGAAACTTCTCATAGTTGGACTGATATGTTTGGATAATGCTGTAAGGCATCAGATTTTTTCCATGTTTACAACTCAAACTGGTTGAAGTATTCTTCACATGCTCTAATGTTAAAGTGTCTGGTGTTGAAAAGCACAAATATGTTGATAGGAAGCCAGATATTACACAAACAGACAAAGAAAGGATGTGAATAAGATAAAACTTTCATTTCGTACAAGCAAACAGTACACGGATGTAAAAGTAATGTGTGTTTTCACTATTTGTTATACATCCTGTTAGCTTCTCGCTAATGCATTTTGCTGACAATTGATACGAAACACATCAACTGGAAGAAAACCCAATAGTAACAAGCTGAAAGGGGACATGTTGCCACCTACTGTGTGAGCTGAGGCGCTCATGCTTCTGTCAATGATTCGATTTTTGCCCAGTGCATGAAAACTGGTACAAGGACAGTAGTCCAGTTAAATTGGCTAATCAAGCCGACTCGACTCAACTATGCATGTAAACATACTCAGTGAGTGATGTGTTCGATGGTTAAAGGAAAGCTAGATGCAATTAAGAAAAAAAATACTCCATTTACATAAACAGGAAAAAAGATAAGTAAAGAGAAGAGACATAGTGCTTTATCCTCGGGGGATGCTAAAATGAAGTCTTGAAGTTCTTGGTTTATGTTTAATTTTTAGCAGCACCCAGGCTCAAGTCCTTCAAACACACACACTAACACACTCACACCGGCATGCCCTGGCCTGCCGTTGTCCAGTTGCGTTAAAGCTGTTCTCTGGCAACAGTCAAACAGTTGGTGGGCAGCAGAGCGACCCTGACTGACTGGTTCAATATTTGCTGGTCCAGAGAGGAGGCGTGTGGAGGCTGCAGGAGGTCAGGAGGTCAGCGGGGCAAAGCGGTCGGCTTTCAGGCCCGACACGACTGACCAGCAGGTGAGCAAACAGAGGCTGCAGAGGAGGAGGAGCTCAACGGTGACATGATAGTAGACACCAGAGATTGATTTCACTTAAAAGGTTTGGTTGTGTTATTCAATATGCATAAATCTACAATTATTTCCACTAAACCTTACAAGCTCACATTTTTCTTCCTGGAGAGCGCTGCAAACCAGTAACTAAAGGTCTATAGATCTGAAACAATGTGAGTCTGGTTCTGTCTGAGGTTTCTGCCTGTTAAAATCAGTTTTCTCTGCTATTGTAAATATCTAAATGCTGCAGAGTGCTCTGCGCTTTTGAACTAGTTTGATACACAATTTTTTGTGAATTGGCATGATATAAATATTGATTGATCTGAGTTTTTCTGAGTTCTGATGAATCTAAATCCAACTTTTTATGAGTGTTCAGGACGCAATGCTCTGAGGACAACATTAGTTCAATTAGTTTCCCTAAAGTTTATCTTCTTAGAGCTGCTCTTCTCTTGTTAAAACCTGCTTTTATTCTGTTTTTAACTCTCATTTGTGTAAAGGTCATGTGGGAAAAAATACTTTTTTGTGTGTGAATAAATGTGCAAGAATTCCAAAGCCACTGCCTGTGTTACATGGTAATTTCCTTGTCTTAATCTGAAGTAAAGTCAGGCAGGTTGAAATCGAAAACAGTGGGCTATTCATCTGGATAAGCCTGTTTTACTGTTTAACTCACAGCACACATGTAAAACAGCCAAGTTAGAAAATGCAAATCTAATTAAAAGTGAAAATGAGATCAGGATTTCCTGAGAGACAAACGCTCACAGACTTGATCACTTTACCAGACCTGTTGTCATTTCAGCTCGGCTTTAACACAACGATGCGACAGAGGTACGTGTCCGGCATTCACAGCCGGGCCCACTGTGTTTGCTTTTGGTTTTAGCGCCTGCTAAGATACTATTGACGGCCAGTCAAGTAATGTCACCAGACCGTTTTTGGTCCGGCCTCACTGTGGCACTTAAATGATGAAAGCGGGCCCTCAGTGTCCCCCATCCGGCAACAAGTGCACCCCCTGTCAGCGCCAGCCTGCAGGAGGAAGCAGATCAGTCTGACTGACGTAAGTAGTGTGGACAGATACAATTTCAGCCTGGCAACACAGCCAGGATCTGGCAACTCCTTCCCACTGTTTACCTAAAGGCTAAGGCAGCTGAGCTCAGACCTCACCTGCTGGCCTCAGTGGCTGCCATGAATGCTCACATAATCCCTCTAAGTCCATGCAAACCCAGAGCTGCTTCTTGTGCAAAAAGCTCCGGGTCCCACCCTCGCTCTAAGACCTCCACTCGATTAAGAAACAGTTTG